ATAATCATGGCTACCAAGCAGTTTATTACCGTATGAAGGCTAGAAAACGGCGTAAAGTAGTACCTTAAATTAATGTTTGGGGCAAACACAACCGCCCCAAGGATCCCCCCCCCCCCCATATGCTTTTATAAAGACTGCAACGCAAGAACACGACGGTTTTGCGTTTCATTCAAGTCACAGACACCGTTCTGGACGGAATAAGAGCTAAAATCCTTACACCTGAGAAAGGGGTTTATATTAGAAAGTCGCGCATTTAGCGGAAATTCGGGCCAAATTTCCAGGAGTTTGCAAAGATGCTATATCGCTCTGGCCTGAGGAAATTCCAGCTACGTCCCTGGCCGAGCCGCGTGCTGTCTCGAAATACAGGCCAGAATGATGCTGGGATGTAACGGTCTGTCCTTGCAACTGATTAGCTGATGTTTTGATGTAGTGAGACCAAATTTCATACGCGTGTGTATTTATATATTTTCAACCGTCGAAGCGCGCATCCGTCCCAGCAATGTAGGAATTCGCCGACTATTCGGAATCGTGTAACTTCTAGCCAATGATCTTATTATGTGTCACCGGAAAACTCGACGAGGAAATAGTTAGCACGCAGCTTTTTTCTTTTTGACAGGCAACCATCTCACATCCCGCACGCAGTAAGCTCAAGGCACAAGTCATTGGACGGAGGGCGCCATGTTCGTTGTAGTCAGCGCCATCCCGAGGACACGGGCACCCATAAAAGGGGCCGCGTGACCTGTGTGATGTCATATGACCTCTGAAAGACTTTTGATTATGTTCACCGAGGCGCCCTCCTGGCATGCCTTCAGTGGTGCGGGCTTCCGGGACAATTTCGCTAGCCGCATGCTGTCCGTGGAGAGCAGTGTAGGCGGCGGGGTTGTGGAGCAGCTTCACCAACAGGATACAATCAGTGATGAGCGGTGTAGAAGATAGCCAAGATTCCAGATGTCAGGGAAGGACCTTGAACTATGAACATGCTCGAATTATTTGCAAACCAGTTGCCATGTCATCTCTCGGAAAAGCGCATAATTGCTGCCTATGCGGATGATTCGGTGTTCCTGTATAGCATGCTCCCGATTGACGGTGGTCTACCTTAGTCGACGGGAAATGCGGAAAGAGGTCTGGCTGCGCTCTCCGCATGGTTCAAATGAAGTCGGTCAAAGCTTATCCCTTCCCAAACGTACATGATCCTGACTAGCGCACCTGCGGCATTAAAAGTATCTCACATTTTGACATTAGTTTGGATAGGTTCGCTCCTAAATCAACAAACCACATCCAACTCCTGGAAATAATACGAGATCAAAATCTTAACATGGAGCGGCAAACCGCAAAACAAACCGCAAACCGCAAACCTGCTACCGGAATCATCCACGTTAAAAAAGATTAGCAAAACTCTGACTACTTCCACCTCGCAGTCGCTAGACCAAGCTTTAGTACCCCCTCATACAGCGCACCGTTTGCGCACTATATTGTGCGACCTGTGATCCACCAACGAAAGGGCTACGTCTCCGTGGTTAAGTGTACTAGGAAAACTCTGCTGCAGCTCCACACACCAATGCATGTCAACAAAATCTCGACAAAAGAATTACATGCCGCCTCTTTGACTGAAGCGCGAAACACGATCGTGCTGCTGCGTTGCAGTCTCCGTTAAGGCGGGAAACTTAACAGCATTTTTGCTAGCATTAAGTGTGTTTTTTCACGTGCTGTCTTCTCAGCCTCCAAGCGACGGGAATCCATTTGCTGAACATCCTTTTTCAAAAGCTGCTATTTTTGAGACGTACTCTTGTCACATCCATGCGTCTGTCATTCATCAATGGAGCGAGAACGAACAAGGAAACTGAATGAAATCTTTAGGGAATCAAAGACTCTTATCCGGACATCTCGCACCAGCTCAAGACGGCACCTGGCACGTTCAGCTCTGACGCGTCACCATGCCATCGGGTAGGCAACATGTCACGCATGCACCTGCGAACTGCTAGGCAAATTGATGTTTGGAAATGTGTGCCAAATTTCATGTAACTTATGCGAAACAGGCGGACGAGTCAAAAGTTACGTTGGCGAGTGCAAGCGTCGCCTCAAATATGACTTCAATGAGAGTTTCAGGGACACCCACTAACGACAAGTTGATACACGTCTTTGGTGGAGCATGTGTTGCAGCGGCGTGTGAGTCTCGATAGTTTAGAATTAACACAGCCTTCCAGATCGGGTTCAGCGGACATATTCGAGATTTAGATTGGAACAAGCCTGATAAGCTAGACACATTAGAAATTTAAACCTGCTCTGATAACTTTGTGACTAGTTTCTGGCATTTGAAGCTAACGGCAGGATGAGCTTTGCATGTGGTTCTGTGTGCAGTTAGGTTTGTCCTGGGAAATGTGTCGCTTTGATATATTTGCACCCAGGAATCAGGTTTGGTGATGTGCTGGACATCCCTTAACATATCGCGCGTGCTGACCAGCTTCGACGCATCTCCTGAATCAAAGGCTGCAAGAGTGAGAACCATGAATGAGAATGTGAACGATGATTCAAAAATTGCATCTGAAATTTGTGACTAGATAATGGCCAGAGGCCGAAGCTTCTCCGTAGTCGTTTTTTTTTATCTTAAGTCAAACATACTATAACTGGCATGCTAAATATATGTATACGCTTCCTTCACAATAACGTTGACAATTCCATGGACCCTGCGACATTTATAAGGCTTTATTAATATATCAAAAGATCGTTTTGACTTTGCCGATTGTACAACGTTTTCATCCGGGGTGAGCGTGCTAGGCTTCACAATTGACAACGTAATGTCCTAGGAGTGGTGCATCTCAGAAGTGGTCTAAAAGGAGAAACCCTTTTTTCCTTAATCAAATTCGGAAACAGCTGACAAGCCAGGAGTTTATATCCGGTGGCCCGTCTGTCCCGCATCCTGTCTTGCTTTCCCGTTCGGGTTGGAGTCGCGGCGTGCCGCCTGGAGCGGCTGCAGAGACTGATCATGGGACCACCCACCCTGATGACGGCAGTGACTGGGTCCGCGGCTGTCCCGGGGACTCGCTGTCGTGACCACATGGGCGGCGCCGCCTGGCCGTCATGTTTTCTCGCCGCGCGGTCAGATGCTGGAGCCGCCTGTCTCTGTCTAGGACTGCCATACCGCACCGCCTCTCCTCCGCACCCGCCACTGTCCGTCTCTACCGTATCTCGGTCAAATGCTGGAGCCGCCTGTCTCTGTCTAGGACCGTCGTGCCTCAGCGCCTCTCCTCCGCACCCGCCACTGTCCGTCTCTACCGTCTCTCGGTCAGATGCTGGAGCCGCCTGTCTCTGTTTAGGACCGCCGTACCGCACCGCCTCTCCTCCGCACCCGTCACTGTCCTTTTGTGCTGTATCCCGCATTCGGCGCTAGTCTGTCTCTGTCTGATCATATCTGATCTGAAAAGCTTAGGTACATCTCTCTGATGATCGCTTATTGCCTACGCACGTCTGCAGGCTTCGTTTTAAATAATAGTACGCTACTTGAGCTCGGCTGGAATTGGCGATAAGCCAGTCAACAAGGATTTTGCGCTGAGCTGAAAGGAACGGAAATAAACTGAACTAGACTGACCTGATCTACAGATTCTAACTTTGCGTCTTTGACGGTGTAACGTCATTCTAAACAATAACGCGTTATAAAAAGGCGGCTGCAAGTTTTCGGCCCGTTGAGAAGCCACTGTACGCAGGTATCATGTCACACGCCATGGCTCCGACTGGTGTCGTGTTGCACACCCGCCTGGTCGGCCGCCTGGAACGTACCGATCGACGCCGGAACGGCGTTCGACCACGCGACCGACACGCGCGGCCCCATTCCTTGGGGCGTTGGTTGGCATTGCTGGGGTGCGAGTAAGGCACGATAGGCTCTTCCCGCCGGGTCGTGGTATGTCTTCGAACATGTGCGTCGCCATCAGGGCACAGCTGGTTCACTGCTCTCTACATGAATGCAGCTCCGCCCAACGCTGTCGTCTTTACCGAAAATGCAAGAAGAATATCGAAATATCTTGTAACAATGGGCCAAATTGATTACGTGGCAAGCATCAATATTATCTTCTGCCTATCTAGAACTATTTAGGAGTTTCCACGGATATCAGTCGCGAGTGCTAATTAATTCTAAGGCGATGCGGGTTGAATGTACATGCCTTTTTCACATCTATAACCTGGATCTAAACAACGCAAAGGGGAATTACCTTCCTCGAAATGTGGATGCCCGAAACGCACGCGGGAAAATATTCGTCTACTTTTGTACTTATTCAACAGTGGGGCATACATAAATGTTGTAATATACCATACACAGCCCGGTATTTGAAAGCTGCTGACTGAGTTTGTCATTTTCAGCTCAGCTTGCCCTGGTACATGACCTCACCATGACGTACACGTCTAAACCTACTACGTAGATGTAAAGCGCTTTCTGTTTGTAAAAACTGCCGAAGTCTGCCCCATTGTCGCTAACAGTGTCGATGGTCAGGAATTCAATTCGTCCCACTTAACAGGGCGTTTTTGGCCCTTCACGCCGCCGATGGGGATCTGACGGATTCGCACCTGTCGGTGCGACTGTGGCGCGGCGGAGACAAAAACGGCGCCCCGCCGCCGCGTCCTCCCGCCGATATTAATCACAATCAGGTCAAAGGAGCCGAGAGTGGCGGGTCGCCGGCGCTGACCTCGGCCGTTTGTTGCGAAATTCGATACTTTATTCGAGCATTAGGCGGCCGACGGCGGCGGCCGGGCGGGCCGGGTAAAAAGCGGCGCCGGTGGCGCGCAGTCATCGCCGCCCAGACCGATCGGCCCGCCGGGATGGTCCCGGCCGACGGCCGGGACCCGTCCTCTGGCGACTGGTGACGGCTTCCGCGTTACGCCGAGCCCGAGAACCCCGCAGAGGGACGGCGCACATAGTGCTGTCGTCATGTCGCGCTGGCTTTTGCTCCGAGGGTGCCGACCATGCCCTACGTGTTGGCCAATAGCGGTGGATTCAGGAAACAACCGTTGAGGGAAGTCGATGGCATTTATCGAAGATACATTTACGAAAGCACATTTATCGAAGATAAACACATACAGCACGGATCATTCCACAATGTAACGGAAATGCAACGCTCGACATCAATGTCATTCATAAAGGCAGCAACCTCGCGGAAACAAGACAGCTATGTTATGGCTCCAGCGACCCACGCCTGTTTATCGCCTCTCAGCATATGCTAATGCGTCAATTGGCCTCGAAGTAAACTTGGCAACACTAGCCTGGACCAAATAGACGGTTTCCGAGTCGTGCGATTGAGGATGACGAAACTCTGAACCGTGTGAAGACCACAGACGCCTCCCTCAATAGTTCTTCTTCCGCCGATCCATCGTTCAAACGCAGTTGAATCTAATCATAACACTATGATCAATGGTCGGGCGATTTTCGCGGCACAGTGCGGTGCTCTCGCACGCCACGAGCGCCTCATGAACGGCCGGGCATCCACCGACGGCTGAATCCGTCTCCTCTCGCAGCGCGCGCCGGTTTCGCGCGGTGGTGTCGCATGTGCACCAGGACGAAGTAGCGGCTCTGGAATGTCCGCTCACACACGCGGCACGTGGCGCAGCTCGACGCGTCCGCCTCCGATGTCGGCTGGTGGTCGGCCGCCCCCGCCCGCCAGGTGGGTGTGCTGTCGCTGCCGTCACCATCCAGGCGACGTGGCTCCGAGTGCTGCCCGTCGGGTGTAGCCCGCGCTTCAGCCCCGGCTCGCGAGGGCTCTGGCCTGGGTATCGAAGGACGCAGCTGGTGGCTCACCCCAGAGCGAGTGTGCGTTGGCGCATCAGGGACTGTCTCGGGTTTCCCCCCGGGCTGACCACTTGCTGAGGTCCGCCGGAGCTCCTCGGGTACCATGATAGACATGGCCTGGCGTCGTGCGTGTGACTGCACACTCGACGACTTACCATCCTGCAAGTGACAGCTTTTCAACATAAATGCATGCGGTTTGCAGTGTCAGACGTTATATAAGTCTGACAGTCCCCTCAGCTCTGACGACCCTTTCGTCATAATCCGCTGGAAATATGTGATGCGTTTCATAACCCGCGGCCTGTGCGATGTAAAACCCACCATTTTTAAAAACACAACAAGCAGCCGCGGATGCTACAAGAATCGTCGTCCGCCTTTGTCGTCGGTCATTTCAGCTTCTTAAATGGCTGCTTCTATTAACGCTTACTGAACACCAGCCTAGAGCAAAACTTGACGCGACGCATAAGCGGCAGCGATGGCTGCACAGTCACTACCTCAAATAATTTGTACTCACAAGTCAGTCGCCAGGCAACGAAATCCGCTTGAGCATGGCACGCAAGAAGCCTCCCGACACCTGTCAACACATTAAAGGACCGTCGGGATCGCCCGGCGCGCCCTCGCTCGACGTCACATTAGGTGAGGACCACGCGGTCGCGGCGGACTACACACAGTGGGGCACGCGCCTACTCCGCGGCGCTGTGCGAGTGGCGGCGGCGAGAGCACAGCCTCCGCGCCTGCCCCGGATTCGGCCCGAATCCCACGACCCGATGACCCGGCGTGGAATTCAGATGCGAGTGAGCGCGGCCGCCGGGCGCCGACCGCGGCCGGCGGCGCCGGGCGACGAGGGGCCGGCGCCGCGCGCTGGGAGGACGCCAGCTCGCGGCGGGCGACGCGCGACGCACCACCGTGCGGGCACGGAGAGCGCCTGCAGTCACGGGCCGATTAGAGAAGAGCGCCTGTCACGCTCGTGCTGTCGTAGTGACGTGCTACCACTTTGGTCCAGCCTGGGACGACAGTGGCAGTCCCACAGTTGAGATCAGCTATGGTTCAGCCTGGGACGACAGTGACAGTCCCACACTTGAGATCAATTATGGTCCAGCCTGGGACGGCAGTGGCAATCCCACAGCTGAGATCAGCAGCGCTTCCGGTCGCTGCCTGCGCCGGGCCGATCCAGGCGACAGGCGGTCTGGACGGGCCGGGCACAGTGCGCAGACCCGGCCAACGGCTGACACCCACGCCACGCCGCGCGGTGGCGCACACAACATGCCGCCACCGCCACTCACCCGCCGTAATTACAGGCACACGGACGCGCATCAGTCTCTCCCGGGCAGACGACACTCGACTGGTAACCCGATACTGCCCTGTCGCAGTTGCACCTATGCAAATCTGATCAAGGCGCGCGCGATACAACATGTCCCGATGTTTACATGGAGCATGCCTCTCATCGAGCGACTGGTGGCATGCTTGATGCCCGCCTCACCCACCTGCCCGTGCACAAGCCACGTGCACACAAACCGACCCGGGTGCGGCCAGGCTCCGGCGCGCTCATCCGGCTCGATAATCCGCGCGCTGATTAATTGCGGCGCCGATGGTTTATTGAATTCAATTGGCCGGCCGCGGTGGAAGCGGGTGGCGTGACGCATGGCGCTGTCAGCCGGCTGGCCGGGCATGTTTATGCAGCAGGGCAGGGCGCCGGGGTCCTGTTACCGCCGCGGCCCGACCCCGCCCGCATCGGTCAATATTCGGCAACGGCGCGCCGCCCGCCGAGCCGGACGCCGCGCGAGGGGTCGCCTGGCCCCGAGACACGTGACCGCAGCGGGCTGGCCCGAGCGAGGCGCCGCTGGCGGTTGCAAAGGTGCTGGAGCCGGTCTAGCTGCTAGCGCAGGAGAAAGTGATTGGTGGCGACTGATTCGTATCGTTCTTGTCAGATGGCAGACCATGTCGGATGGACTGGCCGCCGCGCCATGGCGATGACAGCCCGGGTCATCTCACTTTCACAAACGTGTTTGATGTCAGCCAACCAAAAGCGGTGCTGGTATATGCCGGTGTCGCAGCTGTCCGTAGTGAGATCCGCCCCGTCCTCAGAACGATGGAGTTCCAGTCGCCGCCATCAGATGAAATTGGAACTTCGTGGCGCATTAACTCTCAGTCACAGAGCGTTATCACGGTCATCACCTCCGCACGATCTTAGATGGATGTCTGCTAGTCCCAAGCGTTCAGCACTAACGAGATCGGAACAACGGATGACAACCGCTGCCATATGATCGAAACAACGGATGTCAACCGGTATACCATATGATCAAAGAATGGATGCAAGCCTGTGTACCGCGCGACCGGAACTACGGATGACGGTTGCTGGCGTGCAATCGGAACATTGCATATCAACTGGTGTCATGCGATGAGCACAATTTACGCTAACCGTGGGTATCAAGACGTCTCATGCGCTGGGACAACAAATGTCGTATGGTTAATGACACTATGCTATCAGCACAAAAATAATCATTTGTGTGTCATTTAGCTACGTGCTCGATTGTCTTGAATGCTCAGCGTCTCAGCTGGTCACACCGCTCACTGCGGTGAATAGCGACATACTATGCCGATGACCGTTACCAAAATCACGAATCTCCGAGAGCGATAGAGGACGAACGCCATTCCAAAGGCCCTGCGAGAGCGAAAGAGGGCGAGCGTCATTCCAAAGGCCCTGCGAGAGCGATGGAGAGCGAGCGTCATGCCAAAAGCCCTGCGCCGTTCCCATCCGATCTGAGCAACGAGGTTAGAATGTTAATGTATCATATCATTATCTGGCACTGTGCGAACAAAATGACAGATGTCGACCGTTATGGTAACACGAACAGGACAGCGAGTGTCTCAATCAGAGTATCGATTCATCCGATGATAGTGTCTGGTGATAGAGTCTGATGATAGTGTCTGATGATATTGCCGAATTATAGTGCCTGATGATAGCGCCTGATGATATCCAGGGTCCGGTACCAGGAGCTTACGCAGGAATTCGTAATGGTGCACAATTCGCAAAAATCTAGAATCGGTTGTATAACATAGCACAAAATTACACTTTTTCTTTTTTATTTATACCTGTCTACTTCGAATTCGTAGTTGCCAACATGCATTCGCGCACATACCAGGTGATGTGACAAATTGGTAAGGGAGGTGCCACTTGGGATCCACTACGTGTGTATGCCTATGCTGGGTACCACACCATCAGAACTGTGCACTTCAGCTGGCGCTATGCCATCCGACCAAAGAACGTCATAAAAACCCCCATCAAGTGGTCTGTCAACGGTCGGAACAAATGCACTCATCCCCGTCTGACGCCGCCATTTGTTCCGACCCGTCAACGTCGACGACCCGTTCCGACTCGTCGGCTATCGACAAAACCAGTCGATAGCCGTGCCATGCCCACCCACTGTCGGTACACATGAGCCAATCGCGTCGGTGGCCGGGGACATCCGTCTGCCGGCGGACCTCTGTCGGCCGCGATCTGTCTCAGTAACGAGCGGCCGTCACGTGGCCGCCTGATCCACGAGAGCCGTCACCGGACCGACACGGCCCGACGCCTCGGCGGCGAAGGGGAGGACCGGCCAGTCGTCAGCCGCAGGCAGCGCCCATGCCGACCAACATCTTACTCTGACGAATGTGCTTGGAACGGGTGAATTATTGCTTGACCTTCGTCCAATAATTCAGAACATTCTATGGCGGAGTGCACGACTCAAGACTGGTGTGAGCGGCTTAGAGTGAAATGCGCACAATAACGGTCTCGTTCATGCAACTCCGTATGATTACATCAACGGCTCGGTGTTCCCGGCGACTGTCATTGGTAAAGCATCGCCGCCAGCTCACCGTGGTGACACAGACGAGCCAGTTTCCACGACCAGGTCGAAGTGTAAATCAGGCTCAAACTTGCGCAATGTCCGTATTTTATAATTGTATAAAACTCCAATTTCAAGACAGTAGTAAAAACTCATTCCTCGTAGAAAAACAAGGAGAATGGAAATAGAGACGCATTGATATTTTGGCAACACGCCTTTATCGAAGCGTACAGCAGAAATAAAGTCAAAGTCTCCTTCCGATGATCCCACTCAATTTTTTTTTTGTTGAACAACGAGCTAAGTTTTTACAGTCCGCCTGTAAAAAAATTGGCTAACAGATTTTTACAGGTCACCAGTGACGCGGCCAGCCGCCATCACTGATTACACGCTAGCCCACAGCCAAGCCCACACTACAGCCCCGTCACCTGTTTTACAGCAACCTGTAAAAACTATGGCTCGATGTTTAAAAAAACCCTGAAAAATTGGGTATGATCATCGGTAGGCACTTTTTAATGTACTTCTGCTGTTCGTTTCGATGAGGGCATGTTGTCGAAATGTCAACGCATCTTTTTCTCCATTCCCCGGCTTTGCTGAGAGGAATAAGGCTATTACTACTGTCTTATCTACGTGCATAATGTTCCTCGCAAATGCACTTAACAATTTACAAAACCCCAATTTTGTGATGCCCACTACTGTGATGTCCCACTCGGGGCCAGTCCTGGCCCCGTAAAACACCCCGGCCTCTGCGCCCTCAACCGCGCGCACGTGCCGGGACCGCGAGCCGTGCGCACGTGCCGGGACGGCGAGCCCGTCGGCCTATGCGGAGGCGTTAAGTGTTGTTATGCGGGCCCGGAGCCGTGTCTGCGCCGCACGAGTGACCGTCACTGGGAGAGTGTGGGCGGCGCGGCCAGCCGCCACCACCGATTACACGCCTGCCCACGCCCCAGCCCCGTCAGCGGAGACCACCGGCGCACCGGCACACAGCTGTCCGACGGCACACAGCGCACAGCTGACAGGGGAATACCCGCAGCTGACAGACGGCAAACAGCTGCACAGATGACGGGCGAGACTCGACGGCAAGCTGACAGGAGAATAGCCGCAGCTGACAGACGGCAAATAACTGCACAGCTGACGGATGTGACGCGGCTGCACAGCTGGCAGGAAAATGGCTGTGGCTGACAGACGGCAGACCGATGCACAGCTAACACACAGCACAACCGCACAGCTGACACAGTCAGCAGGCAGAGTATTCAGCTGACACAGCTGGGAGAATGTGCACTATTGCAGCCGAGCGATGGAACACAGGTGACACAACTGACGGGTGGCGTACGGCTGGACAGCAGGCAGATAACACAGCTGGCACAGCTGAGAGAATGTGCACAATTGGAGCCGAGCGATAGAACACAGGTGACACAACTGACGGGTGGCTTAAGACTGGAAGGCGGGCAGATAACACAGCTGGCACAGCTGAAGGATCGCCCAGCCACACGCCTGATGGACGCCACACAGCTGACAAAAGGTTCATGGCTGGACAGCTGACCGCTGGGGCACAGCTGCACAACTGTGTGACTGACGTGCGACACACGCACCAGCATCGCTGCATGACTGACGGACGGCACAAGCTAACAACTGACAGACGGTGCAGAGCTGAAAGCCTGACAAGTGTCGCATGGTGGTACAGCTGACAGACTGCCGCACAGCTCACAGATGGGTCACAGCGAGCACAGCCGTCAAACAGCACACAGATGCACAGCGGGCAGATGGCATGCAGCCTCATCAAGTGCATAGCCGACGGAATAGCATACAGTTGCAGCTGGGAGACGCGGCACGCAACGACACGGCTGGAAGATAGTTCACGATCTTT